CAGACTCCTGGGCTCAAGTGATCCTGCTGCCTCAGCCTCCCGAGTAGCTGGGACTACAGGCATGCACCACCATGCCCGGCTAAATTTTTCTATATATATTAATTGGCCAATTAATTTCTTTCTATTTATAGTAGAAACAGGGTCTCGCTCTTGCTCAGGCTGGTTTCGAACTCCTGACTTCAAGCAATCTGCCTGCCTCGGCCTCCCAGAGTGCTAGGATTACAGCCGTGAGCCACCACACCCGGCCTATAATATATTTTAATTCAATACATTATTTTTAATCTGAGATTATTGTCTTTGATTTATAAATTTAACCCATTTACATTTGTTTTATTTGCTGTTATATTCAGACTTGTTATCAACCATCTTCTTTCATATTTACATATCTAATTTTTAATATTTTTCTATTTTAATAACTTTTATTGGATAGATAGAATTTTCTTTTGTTGGTTTGCAAATTATGCATTTTATTTTCATTCTTCTAGGTTTTACTTGTAGCTTGTTAGAACCATGTTTATGTGTATTTATCCCTGTCAATTTTGAGCTTATCAATAGCTATATCTTCCCCCCAAAAAAGCAATTGCTCATCTCCCATTGGATCTCAGTCTACTCACTTCCACACACACAACTCTGCCATGTTGTATCATCTAGAATTTTAGTGTTTAATGATGAGTATAGTTTTTGTTTTTGTTTTGCCTTACTTACTTAGGCTACCATGCATGTTACTACATACTTTAGTCACCCTTCATTCCTATATCTTTTAGCGTTCTCTGGGATTTAATTCTCTTCTTGCTAGCGTACTTCCTCCAAAAGTGTTTTTCAGAGTGTCTTTAGGTAGTAAATCTTCTGAATCCTTGGAAATTGTGAGAATATCTTTCTTTTAGTTTTGTACTAAAATTATAATTTAGCTACATATAAAAATGCTAGTTCTTAAGTTCTTTTTCTTACATCCAGCATTGCTACTGAGAAAACTGATGTCAGCGTGATATTTTTCCTAGTGGGCAGTGTGTGGGAATTGTTCGTTCTGTTTGTCTTCTTGCTTGCATCTCTTAATTCTTTGGAAGTTTTTAGAATTTTTTTGTCTCTCACACTATTAACTTTTCCTATAATATGTTCAAATGCTTTTTAAAAAATCTATCTTGTGGGTATTCTGTCTGAAATCTCACTCTTTAATTTTGGGAAATTCTAGGATTTCTTGGAATTCTTTTATTCATTATTTTTTCAAGTATTTTCTTGCAGCTCCTCCACACCCTTCCAGAACTCCCATTTTAAAAATATATCCATCTTTCATATTTATTAACTTTATCCTTATGTTTTTTATCTCTTCCTATACTTTCTTGTAGAGTTTGCCAATCGTATCTTCTAGTTTATGAATTCATTCTTAATCTGAACCTATTTTGCTATTTAACATTTGAGTTCTTTTTTTTTTTTTTTTTTTTTTGAGACAGAGTCTTACTTTGTTGCCCAGGCTAGAGAGAGTGCCGTGGCATCAGCCTAGCTTACGGCAACCTCAATCTCCTGGGCTCAAGCAATCCTCCTGCCTCAGCCTCCTAAGTAGCTGGGACTACAGGCATGCACGACCATGCCCAGCTAATTTTTTTCTATATATATTAGTTGCCCAATTAATTTCTTTCTATTTACAGTAGAGATGGGGTCTCGCTCTTGCTCAGGTTGGTTTCGAACTCCTGAGCTCAAACAATCCACCCGCCTTGGCCTCCCAGAGTGCTAGGATTACAGGCGTAAGCCCCCGTGCCTGGCCAACATTTGAGTTCTTTATATCAGCTATTATATTTTACACACCTGATAACTTCTTTATACATTCTCATTCCTATTTCAAATTAATAATATTCTTCATTATCTCTTGGAAGATCTTTATTATGATTATTTAAAATTCTTGTTCTCACTGGTCCATTAATTCTGCTTCATCTCATATAGGTTCTTCATTTCTTAGATTTTCTTTTCCAGGGATTGCACTACTCAGATGTCTTAATTTTTTTGAGCTCACATTTCCCTGAGGTTATCATTCCCTTGACTGGTGGAATGTACCTGGGGAAGTAGCTACTATCTGGGTCCTTAAGTTTACCTCCTTCCTCAACCTCCTCTCCTACCACTCCCCTCTCAGTTTGCTTAGGCAGAAGAGAGTATGCCTTTGGGTGAGCCTGTTGTGCTTCAATCTGTGTTCTGCTGCTCCTGAAATACCATATCCCAAGGCTGACCCCTCCCTCTAGAGGGTCAAGGTGGAGGAATTAGCAAGAGAGAATGCCTAGCAGTGAGCTACAAGGGGCCTAGGTCCTCGTGGAGGTTTTGTACTGTATCACAGTGGCTAAGATGGAATTAAATTTCCCAGAGTCCCCTTCCTGGTTCTGGGTTAGAGTTGGCCTAAGGACATTTGCTCAAGATTTGGAAGGTTTGCTAAGGAATGTGTAACAACTCACCTGCCAAATCAAAAAGCCCTAAAAAAAAAAAAAAAAAAAATTAAAAAAAAAAAAAGATTTGGAAGGTCTGAAGCTTTTATGTTTCTGAAGGTTGTCATGGCTAGAGGCAGTGAGAGGCAGATGCAAGGTCCCAGAGAGTTCCATTTTGTTCTTACTCTTCCTCCAGACTGTGTCCAGCAGCACTTCTTCCTCATTGCCAGCCCTGATCACCAGCAGAGGCCTACCCCTGGACACCTGGTGAGAACTCTAAGAGGCAGTATCTGTGAAGAGCCAACAATCTTTCATAGACTTCTACAGCAGCTCCCTTCTCTCTCCCACTCCAGGAAGCAAGACGGATATTGCTTCCGGATTTCCCGGCAAGCTCCAGCTTGTCTCCCCTCCACCCTCAACCAGTGCTTTCAGAGGGATGAGTAGTGGCTTTTCCTGTGATGCTACAACTCCCCTTTGTGAACTTTACTTCTCTATCTTCTCCAACAAGTGTGTAAAGCCTAATTCCTGTAATGAATTATTTATTCCATGATTCTCACAGTGGCTCTGCTTCCCTGATTGAACCCTGGTACATACAGACCCTGGGACTTTATGGAGCAGAGTTTCTGCACCAAACCTAGCCTATCTCCAGATCTTCACATGAGAGAGAGGTAAGTACATTTCTCTAATCCACTATTATTTTTATTATTTTGGTCTGACTTCATGGAGCTGAGCCACCCACTGGTTTTGGACCGTCCTCTAGACCATTATGAGAGAGAAAAAGAAATTTTATCTTATATGACATATTGCATATTTTTTAGTTTCTTTTTCTTTTTTTTCTTTTTTTTTTTTGAGACAGGGTCTCACTCTGTTGCCCAGGCTAGAGTACAGTGTCATCATCATAGCTCACTGTAACCTCAAACTCCTGGGCTCAAGTGATCCTCCTGCCTCAGCCTCCGGAGCAGCTGGGACTAAAGGTGCACACCACCATGCCTAATTTTTTAAAAAATTTTTATAGAGATTAGGTCTCAATATATTGCTCTGGCTGGTCTCAAACTCATGGCCTCAAGCAATCCTCCCACCTTGGCCTCCCAAAGCACTAGGATTACAGGTATGAGCCACCATTCCTATCTATATTTTAATTTATTTTTAACAGGAACATGTACCTATATCCCAGCTCACTTTTCACCTGGCTGAATCCTACTCACACTTCAGATTTTCCTGATTCCTAGATGAGTCTGATCCCCTTAGTGTAATTCTCCCAATGCCCTGGGCCTCCCCTTTTATGGGACACCCATCACTTAGTAAATATTTGTTCCAGGACTGTCTCCCCCTTCCCCACTACACTAGACCTTGACTCTCTTATTCCTGTTCTGCTCTCAGCCCACAGAGCTGACGCACAGTCATTCACGGGATGAATAAACCTTCTTCAGGGTAGCCGCAGAGAAGAGAAATCTTTTGGTGGGTTTGGCTGGGAGTGGCCTGTGCATCAGCTCCGAATCCCTTGGGTGGGGCTTGGCTCATCAGCGTCTCATCCTCTTTCATTCCAAAGCTTTGAACTACTTTCCAAACACTGGGTGCCTCACAGCCAGTCACTACACGTTAGGAGGGGAGGTGCGTGCGCTCCAGACATCGAGGCCGTCAGCCCCACCCCTCTATGGATGACATGCAGCACACACCATCGGGTATGCCTGACTCAGGGTATGTGTCTTCTCTGAGAACTACCTACCCTATTAACCCTTCCCTGCTGAGGAGTGGGCCCAGCCTGGGATCACTACTGTCCCACAGAACACGTATATAAGTATTAGGAAAAAGAGCCATTACTCAGCACACTTTATTGCCGTCTGCTAAAATGGTTTCATTATAAGTATAGGTATTTACAATGTCTATAAGGTGAATGGGGCCCCTTGGATGTACTCCTTGGGTATATATATACTGCACGGTCTGCCTAACCATTCGTGGATGTCTGCCCTGCCTCTCCACTAGTCTTATTAGCGTCATGTTCCCTTGCCTCCTTCTGAGCCAGGCTGACTGGCCCGGGAGTGGCTATGTAACTCAAGCTGGCCAATCAAAGTGGTTCTCCCAGGAATTTGAAGTTAGGATACAGAGACTAGCTTGTCCTTATTGCACTGGGGGAAAATGCCATTTCATGACATGTGTCAGTTAGAATTCCCTGATTTCAAGTGACAGAAACCAATTTAAACTTAAATAGCTGACTTAAACAAAATGGAACGTATTGGAAGGTGTCTCCAAAAGCCAGAGAACCAGGGAGCCAGAAAGGAGGAGGAACAGGGGAGCAGCCTCAGAAGCAGAACAATCTGGTCAGGCCCCCACTGCCGAGGCGAATGACCTCCATCCATGTCTTCCTCTGCTGTGTCTCTCCCTCAGACTCGGTCTTGGGAGAGAGCAACTAACCAGTCAAATTTTACTCTGGTGCCCAACCCTGGATATATATGATGGTGTGTAGAGTCCATCTATTTTTTTCCCCTTAACTTAAAAAACTGTTTGTTTGTTTGTTTTTAATTTATAAAAATATTTAGAACAACAGCAACAAAAAGCCCAAGGCAAGCTTTATTCTTTTTTTTTTTTTTTTTTTAATCTTCTGTGATGGGATCTGTCGGTGGCTCCCTGGCTATGGCACTGTTGCACTCAGACGCGGTGTTACTGCCACTGGCTCTGTCCCCTGCCACACTGCTGCCCCTCCTATCCGCTTGCTTTAGCCTCAGGAGCAGATATGCCTTCTTCACTACTTTGTTGGCTTTCTGTCGTTTCTTCAAGTTGTGTCTCCTCTACCTCTTTTGGAATGTTCTTGCCTTCTTCTTTTCCTTTGGTTTTATCAGTCACTGGCTCTTCCTCGAGAACAATCCTTCTCCGGCTGCATTCAGCTTTCTCTGCTGCCTCTTTCTCCCCTTCTCTGCCGCTGGCGGGCTTGTTCCGCTGCCTGTGCCTTTTCAGCTACAATTTTCTCCACATCCACTTCTATACTTCCACATAACATTTTAAATTCAATGTTGAACAAATCTGTGCTTTCCAGGGATTTCTTCTTCTTTTCCTGGTGTTGTTCCTCTATTTGAAAAAGTTTAGCTTCTAGTCTTTGTTGATGGACCCTTAAGGACTGGACTTTGTTGTCTGAGAACTTGCATTCTACCTGTTGTGACAACTGAACAAATGTCTGCCAACACACTGTCACTAAGTATTTTGCTGATGAAGTGGTAGTTTCTCTGGAAATGGACAGTGGCTGTGTGCTTCACTGAAGAAGCCATCGTCTAATGACAACACAGGAGAAAATCTAGGTGACCTTGGGCATGGCAGGACTTTTAGATACAATTCAAAGGCACAATCCATGAAAGACATTTTGACAGTTTCTTTCTAAATTAAACATATTCTTACCAGACAATCCAGCAATTGTGCCCCTTGGTATTTACCCAAATGAATTGAAAATTTATGTTCATACAAAAGTCGATACATAGATGTTTATAGCAGCTTTATTCATAATTGCCAACACTTGGAAGCAGCCAAGATGTCCTTCAGTAGGTGAATGGATAAATAAACTGTAGTACATCCAGATCATGGAATAATATTCAGCAATAAAAAGAAATGAGCTACCAAGCCACAAAAAGACATGGAGGAACCTTAAATATAGCTGATCTGAAAAGGTGTATACTATATGGTGCCAACTATTTGACATTCTGGAAAAGACAAAACCATGGAGACAGTAAAAAGATCAGTGGTTGCCAGGGATTAGGGGGAAAGGAGGGATGAATGGGCAGAGCACAGAGGGTCTTTAAGGCATGAAAATACTCTGTAGGCTACTTTAATGGTGGATCCATGGCATTATCCATTTGTCAAAGTCCATAGAACGTATAACACCAATGATGAGACCCCCTCATTTGCCAATCTCCCACAACTTCTAGTCAGCACTGGAAGCCTTTACTGAGGGCTCCAGACCTTTCTGCTGTGCCTCATGTAGTGCAACAGTAGCTTATCTTTGGGCATTTGGGAATCCTTATACCAGAGGACACCATGACCCTGGCTGTTGGTGCCCAGATTCCCTCCCAGCCTCTAGTTGTTGCAGGTGAGATTACTGTGTGGAGGGTGTCCCATCCACATCCTATTATAAAATAAATGACTGAGGCAAAGATCTCAATTAATGCAGATTTATTCAGCCAAAGTTGAGGGCATGCCTGGGAAAAACATGAACCGCAGACAAATCTCTGGCTGTGTTTTCAAAGGGGAATTTGGAAATTTCAATATTTAAGGGGAGTATAGCACACAGAAATGAAAAAGAAAAAAAAAAGCAAGGTGTGGGTGGGTAGTAAGACAAAGTGGTTACATTCTTGTGAGACCCAGAAATGTCTACATTTTACATAAGATAAGGTGAATGTTAGAAAACAAAAAGGGAGTGAAGGAAGCATCAATTATATGGATGTACATACCTGGGCAGGTAGAAGAATGTTTGATCCTGTCTTTTCTCTGTTCTGCACCTGAGAAGATAAACTTATAGTTCTTTATTAGTGTGCAATTGAACAGACTTTAGTTTTAGGAGCTAGGCTTAGCCTGCAGACCTAAGGTAACAATTTGCAGGTCTTTGCTTGTGGGAGGCCACCAAGGAATTTCCTTAATGAATAATCTATGGGGCCAGCCCTTCCCAGGTACCTGAGGTCTTTACTTTTCCTTTTGCATAAGGAGTTGGGAGGGTGGTCCTGAGATTTTTATTTTCTTTTACACCATAAACCCTGGTGTGCTGGGCACTTGTGTTGAAGGATTTGGGGTGGGAGGTGGGGCACAAGATGGTCTTTTACACATTTTGGAAGATTAAGTTCTTGCTTCCTAAGAACAAATCAGAAATCCCTGGGAAGAAAGAGCACCCACTGCTCAAGCCTTGCTCCCACCCCTCTGGTTCTGTATAGGGAGGAAGATGCCTGGATTTACCATCCCACCAGGGTCACACCCAACATGAGAGAGTCAAGTCTTCCCATGTTAATATATATATATATGGTTTTGGTTTTGGTTTTTTGTGTTTTTTTGAGACAGAGTCTCACTCTGTTGCCTGGGCTAGAGTACCATGACATCAGCCTAGCTCACAGCAACATCAAACTCCTGGGCTCAAGCAATCCTCCTGCCTCAGCCTCCCAAATAGCTGGGACTACAGGCATGCGCTACCATGCCCGGCTAATTTTTTCTATTTTTAGTAGAAATGGGGTCTTACTCTTGCTCAGGCTGGTCTTGAACTCCTGACCTCAAGGTCAAGTGATCCTTCTGCCTCAGCCTCCCAGAATGCAAGAATTACAGGCATGAGTCACCGCATCCAGCCCAAATATATTTAATTTTCTATATTCCTGATACTCTAGCATCTGGGGCCTAGCTGACTGAAGCTGGACTGTCGTCCCCCCCCCCCCCCCCGTAGCCAATAAGAGGTAGCAAGCGACTCACCTCATAGGAGAGTGTGCTTTTCCTATGCAAATTGACCAATCAAGATATGGTTCTTCCACTCTGGAAGGCAATATTCCTCTGCCCTAATCATCCCAGGGCCAGGTGCCAGATCACTGGAGACAGCCCCTATTGCCCAGAGCCCACCAGAACAATGCAAGCCAACCAGTTCTGAATCTGCTTACCCTGCCTTTCCTTTCCTGCAGAAACCACAGTGAAGCCTCCCTCACTCCTGCCTCTGGCCCATGTGGCCCTGCATGGCATGGTGTGCCCCCTCCTCTTGGGAAGGGTAACACATTATCTTTTCAATGGCAGTCATCTCCTAATCTGTTAGCGGAACTGCCCTTTATAAAATGAATAAAGGGCTGCAAGATGGGAACTGTGGTAGGGACCTGAACTCTGCAAAGGTACAGGCATAGTTAAAAAAAATAACCAGCCGGGCGCGGTGGCTCACGCCTGTAATCCTAGCTCTCTGGGAGGCTGAGGCGGGCGGATTGCTCGAGGTCAGGAGTTCAAAACCAGCCTGAGCAAGAGCGAGACCCCATATCTACTATAAATAGAAAGAAATTAATTGGCCAACTGATATATATATATAAAAATTAGCTGGGCATGGTGGCACATGCCTGTAGTCCCAGCTACTCGGGAGGCTGAGGCAGAAGGATTGCTCGAGCCCAGGAGTTTGACGTTGCTGTGAGCTAGGCTGCACTCACTCTAGCCTGGACAACAAAGCGAGACTCTGTCTCAAAAAAAAAAACAACAACAACAAAAAAAAAACAGCCATTGTTTCCTGGCTTGCTTTCCTATAATTGCTTACTACTCAGGAGTCATATAGCTGATAGTCATAAAGATTCTTAGCTTTCTTCATTGCTCCCATAGATAACATCGCCCTTGTGACCCCTAAGGGTCTTTGAGATATCCTCCAGACCCTGCATTCTGGTGCCCCAGCTGACCCAACCAGAGGAGTGGCCCATACCAAGGAATTGACTCAACTGGTCTACCAACCCCGACCTGGGAACTGACTCAACACAAGAGGACAATTTCTACATCCCTATGATATCATACCAAACCAAACCTAGCTCTGTGCCCGACAAACTGTCTTTAAAAACTCTGGCCCCAAAACCCTCGGAGAGATGGATTTGAGAAATTTCTCCCATCTCCTCTCTTAGTGCTCTGCAATATTAAACTCTTTCTCTGCTGCAACCTCTGCTGTCTCAGTGTAGTGGCTGTTCTCTGTACAGCAAGCAGTATAACCCGGTTGGGTGGTAACATTAGCCTTATCATACCTGAATTAAAAAAAAAATGTCTCAGGTACATTTTAAAACAGTCCTCCAGGCCAGGTGGGCACAATGACTGACACCTGTAATCCTAGCACTCTGGGAGGCCAAGGTGGAAGGATCTCTTGAGGTCATGAGTTTGAGACCAGGCTGAGCAACAGCAAGACTCTGTCTCTACAAAAAATAGAAAAATTAGCTGGGCATGGTGGCACATGCCTGCATCCAAGCTACCCGGGAGGCTGAGGCAGGAGGATAGCTTGAACCCAGGAGTTTGAAGTTGCAGTGAGCTACGATGATGTCACTGCACTCTACCTGGGCAACAGAACAAGACTCTGTCTCAAAAAAACAAAAAAGCCCTTTTTTGGGGGTGCTATTAGGAAGGTGATATAGATGCTGAGTAGCCTCAAAATGATAAATATCTACTAAACGGTGCAGAGAAGCAGATAAAGCCAGGAGAGACGGAGAATGACACACAACTGGGAAAGCTTGCAAGAGATAATTGGGGAGAGTAAGCCCAGCTTATCACTTTCAAATTCCTGGATCTAGGCCCAGCTCCAACCCTGCAGCTCTAAGTCTGTGCCACATCCCTGCTTCCTTCCAGTAAACACCCCGCTTTTGGTGGAGCAAGGCTGAGTAAGCTTCTGCTCCTTGCAGCCAGTGATTCCTTCTTATAACAAGAAACTTTGCACTCATATGGATGCACCTCAAAGTGTAAGAACCCTTTTTCCAGCCTGTGGCCAGTGGTCGTCCAGGCACCTCCTGCCTCCCACCGTGTCTCTCCTCACCCCCTGCAGGAAAGCCTGCCCTCCTCTGGGCTTAGGATTCCAGGCCAGTGCTTTTCTGCCCTGGGACTCCATTCTCATTCAGCTACCTCTCACCTCATTTTCCTTGGCCTCAGGGTGGAGGATCCCTTTGGAGCCGGGGGGTAGGGGGATCCTCCAAGCAGAGAAGCCCTCGTTCCTCTTCTCCTGCCTGGGCAGCCCACGACATCGTTGCTGTTCTGATCCTTTCCCCCCCGTCATGCTGCCTTACCTTCTGAACCTGAGTCCCAGCTCCTCCTTTTAGGAACTGTCATCATCTTTAATCCTGCCTAGGGAGACCCCCTCCACCTCCCTAAGTGAAAGGTATTCCATTACATGGTAAAGTGCAGTTTAAGTAGCTATAAGGAAGTGTGACAAACGTCTGTCAGATTGGGGCTGGACTTGCCAAAACTTGGTGATGTGGGTACACTGTCAGCCCATCTCCTAAGGAAGACGGAGCTGAGCTGAGGCTGGGACAGGCAGGATGGCCAAGGTATAAGGCAGGAAATGGTGTGGGGGAGGGGCAGACAAAGCTAGACACCCCCCCCCTCCAGGGTGGTCTGAGAAGAAGGGCTCCCAGTGGGTGGGAGCTGGGGACTACCTTGTCCTTATGCTGCCAGACAGAGGCAGATGGACCATGGGTTATCCAGACCACCCCAGGGTGGGGGGTGCCAACTCTTGCTGGAATGGGGTAGGGGCAGAGGATGGGTGCAGAGTAGGGAGGGAGGAAGGATTTCCTCCAGCTAGTATTTCAACCTGAGGCCAGAGGGGTCTGGACCAAAGAGGAAAGGCTCTTCCTCCAGAGAAGAGGAGTTGGCGGTCCCTGGAGGAAACAACCAGGGCCTTGGTATCTGGAGGCCCAGGATGGGCCAACAAGAATATCGAACAGGGTAATCTATGCCTGAAGACAGCCAACCCTGGGCAAATACTGCAAATACCCAGCCAGATTCAACAGACTGTTCCAGACCCCTTCTCAGTGCCCCCCTCTCCTTCCCACAGTCCCTTGTTTAATCTAAACACTCCCAACCTCTGTCTGCCCCTCTCTGTGTGGCCCGGGGCCAGGTGGTCACAGAGCCAGGGCTCAGTCTGCTTCCCTTCCTTGCCCCCCCGCCGGCATCTTCCACACCTCACGTGGCAGAAGCCTGCACACCTCATCCCTCCAGGTGAGCCCAGAACCTGCCAAGTGGTACCAGCCTCGCCCAAGCCACCCTCCAGCTGGGACACGGCCTTTCCCGTCTCAGCAGGCTGAGGCACCTGAGGCTTTAATTTTAATTATGAGCCACTTCTAAGCCTTTCTGGAAGCAGGTGAGAGATAAAGTGTAAATAAGCGAACGAGTGAGTCATCTGGCCCTGCCTGCCTGGCCCTCTCTGCCCGGATAACAGGCATATCCATCCTGCCCGTCCTGCCAGCCTCACCCGCCAGGCTCTGGAATGGCCAACTGGGTTATCTCCTGATGGGACGCTGTCCTGGGGCCAAGGCCCTGCAGGGCTCCTCTGCCCACCACCATCACCTACATCAGTGGTCCCCAACCTTTTTGGCACCAGGGACCAGTTTCATGGAAGACAGTTTTTCCATGGATATGGGGGGGGGGGAGGTGGAGCTCTGCTGCCCGGTCCCTAACATACTGAGGATCAGTACTGGTCCACAGCCTAAGGGTTGGGGACCGAAGACCTACATCACCGTCCTCTTCAGCAGCCCCCAAACACTAATGCTCACAACAACCTGACAAGGTAGGTACTGTTATGTCCATTTTACAGGTGATACAACCAAGGCCTAGCGAGGTTAAGTAACGTGACCTATGAAAGTAATTTTCATAGGTTGGTGGTGGACCCAAGGTTCAAACTCCAGCTGTCTGACTCCAGAGTCAGTACTTTTACCCCATCCCTCTCTCCTCTTTTCCCCTTCTAGAACTCCCAAGTGCGCACACGCACACACACATGCACGCTGCGTTCTCAGAATCCCTTCCAAGAGCAAATTGC